GCCAGCCACCACCAACTGCCACATGCTTCTTCTTCTCATAGTATACATACTCATTTGGTGCGCCACGATCTTCCTCTCTCGCTCGCTCTATCCTGAAATCATAAGAGACAACAACAACAGACGACACCCATATCCAACTGCACAACGAAAACAGTTATTCCAACCTCATACAAATTTTGAGAATTTTTATTTTTCATACAAATGTAGCTTGACGCAATTTTCTTTCCTTTTCAAATTGTTTTTTGTCGTCCTGAAAAGGACGATTGGTTGATTTTTTCTATGGAATTTATACGATGGTCTGTATTCTTCTCTTTTTTTCATTCCATAATACCTTTCGAAATATTTAGGCTTTCTTTTCGGTCTTCTTGGGCAAGAGAACAGCTTGGATGTTTGCAATACACCACCTTGGGCAATGGTAACGCCACAGCAATTTGTTTCAATTCTTCGTCGTTACGGATGGCCATTGCAAGTGACGGGGAAATGATACGAGTCTTCTTGTTGTCACGGGCAGCATCCAGCCATTTCCAAGACTTCAGCAGCCCAATATTCCATGACAGCGGCTAATAGACGGGAGCCGGCACCAACACGCTCTCAGCATAGTTGCCTTTGCGCAACAGACGATTGATACGACCGACGGGAATTAAGACCCACGATTGGAACGGGACTTTGCCTTTCCCTTACTTTGCCACCTTTACCACGACCAGACATTTTCACTTTATTTTAGTTTTGAACACTTCACTTAAGCACTGAAAACCACAAAAATGATAAAAATTTTCGGGCCGAAACGTGCTATTTATACTTTTCTCACACACACATTTCTTCAATAATGGGGTGGTTTGCCTTGTGTGTGCCTGCTAGCTGTGACTACCTGAAATTCTTGTCGACTACCATCTACAAATTCTGTATAGCTGGCCGTTTTGGTTATCATTTGTGAACAGTGTTAAAAGTGTTTGTGTGATTCAAAAAAAATAATAAGTGAAATGCCTCCTAAAACCAGTGGTAAAGCAGCAAAGAAGGCCGGCAAAGCCCAAAAAACATTACCAAGGGCGATAAGTCGAAGAGACGTACCAAGCGTAAGGAGAGTTACGCTATCTACATTTACAAAGTGTTGAAGCAAGTCCATCCCGACACCGGTATCTCCTCCAAGGCCATGAGCATCATGAACAGTTTCGTCAACGATATCTTCGAACGTATTGCCGCCGAAGCCTCTCGTTTGGCCCACTACAACAAGCGCTCGACCATCACCAGTCGGAAATCCAGACCGCCGTCCGTCTATTGTTGCCCGGTGAATTGGCTAAGCACGCCGTCAGTGAAGGTACCAAGGCTGTTACTAAATACACCAGCTCCAAGTAATGTCTTGATATTTTCATTTGCGTCGAAATACTACCTTAAAAGGCCCTTTTCAGGGCCACAAAAAACATTTCAAAAGAGATCATATTTTTGTTGAAGCTACAATTTATCATTTTTAGTAATAAACGAATAAAATTCCATAGAAATATTTTTTCTCTATACAATGATTTTTCCTGCATTTAGCTAACTCGCATATGTGCCTATGTTTAGCCATTGCTTGTGCGATATGCTATAACAGCCATCGTCGTCGTGTATGTGTGCGTGTGTTAGTGGTGATTTGCCTTGCCGTCGTTGATCAACATCGAATGGGCATCATGTAGGTGTGAGCATTTTGATACAGCACAACGGCAAAGCAACGAAATATAAGGCTGAGGCAGAAATTTTCAAAGGAAAAAATGTATTGATGGAAAATGTAAATATTTTGCCAAAATGTCATTTTTGGATGAATTCGTGAAATTTAACAGAGAATATGAAAATATCAAATTTTTCAAAATTAAGTAGAAATTATAAAATGACCAAATTATGGGGATTTTCGAGAATTATGACCTGTGGGTAATTAGGAAAAATTTTAAATATTTTATTATCTTTTATGACCTGGGTTAAAAATAATCCGTGGCGTCCACGATTATATTGGCTCAATAATTACCTAATAAGAACAGTAATTAGCGAAAGTAATTTTTTTTTCCCAAAATGAAACACGTGTACAAATTACTTATTTATTAGGTTACAATATATACGATAACTGTTGAAATAAATTTTTCTCTTTTTTAATTTAATTTGTAGCCCTGAAAAGGGCTGTAGATAGTATGTTTTCAATATCGAAAATATTGTGGAAAAGTAATCTTTCTGGGAAAAATACTTCTTGGCGGCGGTTTTCTTAGCAGCTGGCTTCTTTGCTGCTGCGCCTTTTTTTGGCTTAGCAGCTGCAGTTTTTGCCTTGGGTGCCTTTGGTTTAGTGGCAGATGCTTTGGCGGCGGTCTTTGCTGGTTTAGCTTTAACTGTACCGGTTTTCTTGGCAGCCTTTGCCTTTGTTTTGTCGGCCTTCTTCTTTTCAGCGGTCTTCTTGGCGGCAGAGGTGTTTTTGGCAGCTGCCTTCTTCTCACCCGGCCTTTTTAGGGGCGGCAGCCTTCTTCTTTTTATCACCAGCGGCTGGGCCTTCTTCTTCTTTTCAGCAGTCTTGGCTTTGGGTTCCTTAGAGGCCGAAGCAGACAATTTGAATGAACCAGAGCACCCTTACCTTTAGTTTGGATCAATTTTCCACTGGCAACGGCACCTTTCAGTACTTCTTGATGAAGGGGCCAATTTTTGGGCATCTACTTTGTAGGTGCTGGCCAAGTATTTCTTGATGGCGGGCAATGATGAACCTCCACGTTCCTTCAGGGTCTTGATGGCGGCATCACCATTTGCTGGGTTGGAGGGTGGGTAGGGGCAGCTGATGGCTTCTTTGCTTTGGCAGCGGCTTTTTTTGGTGCCTTTTTCTCAACAGCGGCAACTGGGGAGGCGGTGGCTTCAACAACGGCGGCGTCAGACATGGTTATTCACTGTTTGGTTTATATTTCACTGTTAACACAAATACACTCACAAATTTATGTGTACTATTATTTTTGTTAGCGGCGAGCTAAAGTGTAGGTACATCGAAAAGATGAGATGTGCATAGTAGTCAATTGGTAAATTTTTCGAAAGATTGTGTGGAAGCGTGTTTAATTTTTTACAAAAGTTTTCGGAGAAATTAATTTTCCTGAAGAAGCTTTGATAATTTTCACTAAAATGTTTTATACCTTTAAAGTATAGATTTCAGGCTATGTTTTAAAGAAGTTTGGTGTAATTATCACTTGCCGTTTGTGAATTATAAACGTTTAACTTGGCAGATTATAAAAATGTAATCACAAATTTTCAACTAAAATTTAAAAAAAATCAATTTTTTATGAAAATTTAATTGAAATTCTTTTTGAAAATGTAGCCTGATATGTTTACTTTAGGATCAAAGAAAAATATCGATGAAATTTCATATTTACTATGTGAAAAAAATTGAAATTATTATGTGGTCTATGACAGCAGAAATCCTCTTGTTGGCATAATTTCAATGAAGAAAAGTTTTTCTTGAAATAAATTTGAAAGCTCAAATCTTAATAAGTTTTATAAAAATTCTTAAAAAACATTTCAGAATTTGTATATTTACATCAAATATAACATTATTCACAAAAGTCATAATTTACGGGAAAGTTACAAAATCCCCAGAATACTTCAACTACCAATGTACAGGCATTCAGTGACAAACGGTTATGTATTTTCATTTTGCAATATTTTTTATGAAATTTAACATAATTTGTTCTAAAATTTATTAAAAATAGTATTAGAAGCCATTTTCTACGTCATTTTGTCAAATTTTTGATAATTTTATGAAAAAAATTATCCCCAAAAGAAATTCCTCTTTACAGGCAAATATCACCTAGAACACTTGGAAATGACATGAAATTAATTGCGTTTTACAAAAATGATTTTCGATCAACTTCAAAGGTAGATATTATTGGAATTCCTTTTTATAATACTTTTAATTATATTTTACATCAAAATTATCAACAAATCAATTATTTTCTTCTTCAATTTTTGAAAATAATAATTATTACCAATTTCTTCAAATACATCGGGCAAAATAATTTTGTAAATCCATACGGAGAAAATTCATAACAAATCTCTTAAAATGCGTTTAAAACATTTAAAAATGTTGCTGAAAGGAATAAAACATATTTCATACATCATTCCTGAAAAAATAAATACGGGGGCACATTTTAGCTGGAATTTTTAAAATGCACATGAAATAATTCTTAGAATTAAAGGCAGAGAATTTTTTTTTCCCGTTAAATTGAATAGTCCACAACAGAAAAATGATCGAAGGGGAATAAAATGAGAGAAATAGACAATTTCGCGCCAAAAACATAAAGAGAGCAATTTTTTGTTTACGGGAAAAGGAAAAACAAAATGGACAAAAAAAATCCCGTTAGCAAAATGTATGTGGTGGTTTGTTTTATGATCATAGCATTTTTTTTCGAAGAGGGAGTACAAAAATGATAATAATTTTGCAAATTAAAGGAAATATCAAAATGGATAATAATCAAAATTCAAATAAAATTAAAAAAATAAAATATTCGATCAAAAAAAAAAAAAATTAAATAAAAAATAAAGTGTCGAAAATCATCAACGAAAAAAAAACACATCAAAAAAATATATCTTTATTATAAAAATGTTAATTGTTGAAATAATCATAGCCCTAAATTATTTTTATTTTTTTCAAAAAAATACTAAAAATTGTAGATTGAGTAAAAAATATCTCTTTTTTATAAAATATTTGTGGTCCTGAAAAGGACCGATTGTTTTGTTGTAAAATTGTTGCTTTTAAACGTCAAGAATTTAAGCACGTTCTCCACGAATACGTCTGGCCAATTGGATATCCTTAGGCATGATGGTGACACGCTTAGCATGGATGGCGCACAAGTTAGTATCTTCGAAAAGACCAACCAAGTAGGCTTCACTGGCTTCTTGCAAGGCCATAACAGCAGAGCTCTGGAAACGCAAGTCAGTTTTGAAATCTTGAGCGATTTCACGAACCAAACGTTGGAAGGGCAATTTGCGGATCAACAATTCAGTACTCTTCTGGTAACGACGGATTTCACGCAAAGCAACTGTACCAGGACGGAAACGATGAGGCTTCTTAACACCGCCGGTGGCTGGGGCACTCTTACGGGCAGCTTTGGTAGCTAGTTGTTTACGGGAGCCTTTCCACCGGTCGATTACGGGCAGTTTTGCTTAGTACGAGCCATTTTTCACTTGAATTTTTTTCACTTCACTAGAGATATGCACACAACACGGTAGACACTGTAATAACGTTGCCATCGCCACGAAAACGAGTATTTATAGAAATTGTGCTGTTAGCATCAACTTTCGGGGTTGATATGTTAGTGAATTCTTACCTATCCGTATACCAAATGTACACGCACACACAAAAGAGAACATTACAATACTAACGGCAATGTACACACACACATATAACTGTACATACTTTACTTGTGTGTTCAATAGTTGGAGAGAGCCTCAAATTTTGTATAAATACGAGCGGAATCGCCGGAAAAAAACATTAGTGCTCAAACTGTTAGTGAAGTGATAAGTGAAATAAACTAAAGTGAAAAAATGACTGGTCGTGGTAAAGGTGGTAAAGGCTTGGGAAAAGGTGGCGCTAAACGTCACAGGAAAGTGCTCCGTGATAACATCCACGGTATTACAAGCCGCTATTAGACGTTGGGCTCGTCGTGGCGGTGTAAAACGTATCTCTGGCCTGATTTACGAAGAAACTCGTGGTGTTCTGAAGGTGTTTTTGGAAAACGTTATTCGTGATGCTGTCACCTACACCGAACATGCTAAGCGTTAAAACCGTCACCGCTATGGATGTCGTATATGCTTTGAAGGAGACAAGGCCGTACCTTGTACGGTTTCGGCGGTTAAACAAATTCTTGACGCAATTTGGAGAAATATTTTTTACAACAAAACAATCGGTCCTTTTCAGGACCACAAAATATATCAAAAAAGAGATACTTTCTTGTTGAAAACTATTTTTTTAAAATTAAAATAAATAAAAATAAACACTTACCTTAGGAAATATAGGGATTTTATGTCAAAATTTCTAATAATTTTCTTTTTTCAGCTTTCTCGTATTTTTTTTCTCACAAGTCGTGAAAAATCAAATAAAAAAATATAAATACTTACTCGTTTCTATTTTCTCCAGAATATTTTCACCGAAAGCCTTCTTTTACCGATGTCTCTTATTTTATTCCCGATCATAAACATGCCGTCGGCAACTCACATCGCTAACACATTTACTTCTTCTTCTTCTTCCTCTTCGTATAATAGGAGTATAACATAGCGTCCGCTTTATGTATGTATTGGTATTATTTAGTCGATATTACTAAAGAACGACCATGCTGTGGTAGCAAAGTAATTTCATTTTGACTTTTTTTTTAAACATTGTTGAATGTTTTCTCAAAATTTAATTTGAAATTGTTGAAAATATTTATTAATAGATCGTTGATTTATTTTATTTCGAAAAATTTCATTAAAAATTTGTAAATTTTTCACTAATCATTTCCTTTAAAATTTTACCGAAAATTAAAATCATTGAATTTTATTTAAAAGTTCTTCATTAAATGAATTTATTTTATTTATGTTAAATTTTCTTATTTAATTTTCAATTAATTTAATTTTTCATTACATTATTTTTTAAAAATCACATTTTCGTTTTATTTAAAATTATTATTATTATTAATTTAAAATTATTTAATTTATTTCCTTTTCATCAATTTAAAATTTTTGATTTCATTTAAAGTATCTTTTATTTTCATAAATGTGTTTATTATTCCAAATTTCTTTAAATTATTTTCAAATATTTTCATTTAAATTTCTTTGAAATTTCATTAATATTTGCCTTTATTTTCTGAAATTTTCTTATTTTAATTTAATTTAATTATTTTCGTTAATTTTCATTTCATTATTTTACTTTTATTCTATTTTTTGTGTTTAAAATTTTCCATAGCACCACAATGCGCTTTTCTTTTCATGTATGTGTCCATTTATTTCCACCAAAACACTACTTTGCCGCCAAAATTCCCTTGCAAATCATCTACTTTATGCCTTCCCCAAAGAATGCGCCGGGGTACGATTTTTCACATAAAATTACTACCCAGCCAGCCACACCAACTGCCACATGCTTCTTCTTCCTCATAGTATACATACTCATTTGGTGACGCCACGATCTCTCCTCTCTCGCTCGCTCTATTCCTGAAATCATAAGAGACAACAACAACGACGACAACACAAATATCCAACTGACAACGAAAAACAGTTATTCTGCCAACGTCTCATACAAAATTATTGAGAATTTTATTTTTTTCATACAAATGTAGCTTGACGCAATTTCTTTCTCTTTTCAAATATTTTGTGTCGTCCTGAAAAGGACGGATTGGTTGATTTTCTATGGAATTATACGATGGTCTGTATTCTTCTTCTTTTTCATTCCATAATACCTTTCGAAATAATTTAGGCTTTCTTTTCGGTCTTCTTGGGCAAGAGAACAGCTTGGATGTTTGGCAATACACCACCTTGGGCAATGGTAACGCCAGACAGCAATTGTTCAATTCTTCGTCGTTACGGATGGCCAATTGCAAGTGACGGGGAATGATACGAGTCTTCTTGTTGTCACGGGCAGCATTGCCAGCCAATTCCAAGACTTCAGCAGCAAATATTCCATGACAGCGGCTAAATAGACGGGACGCACCGGCACCAACACGCTCAGCATAGTTGCCTTTGCGCAACAGACGATGGATACGACCGACGGGGAATTGAAGACCAGCACGATTGGAACGGGACTTTGCCTTTTCCCTTAACTTTGCCACCTTTACCACGACCAGACATTTTCACTTTATTTTAGTTTTGAACACTTCACTTAAGCACTGAAAAACACAAATGATAAAAATTTTCATTTTTC